AAAAAAGGGGCGGAGCCTACCTCTGCCTATTCTGGGCAGCTTGCAAGAGGTGTCAGGCAGGACTGTCTCTCGCTGTGTCTGTGCAGCGCCTGGCACAACGGGGCCCTGATCCCAGCTGGGGCAGGGACTGTCTCTCGCTGTGTCTGTGCAGCACCCGGCACAACGGGGTCCTGATCTCAGCTGGGGCAGGGACTGTCTCTCGCTGTGTCCGTGCAGTGCCTGGCACAACGGGTGAGTGACAGGCTGAGGGTGAGTGACGGGTTGGATACAGGGAGCACCGGGGTTACCTGCTGAGCTGTTTTCTGATTCACACAACTTTTCTTTCAAGCAGGATCGGAAAACCTCCATGCTCCCATTGCACGTGGTCGTGTTTTGACTGCTCTCACACGAATTGCTCATCTGGGCGCTCTGCATGGCTGCTGTTGGCTGTGGGTTCTGAGATGGGCGCTGGGAAACTTCCAGGTAAAAAGAAGCAAACGTTTAAGAAGACGGGGACGGATTCCAGCCGGGGTCAATCAGCCCTAGCTCCCTCCTCAGCCGCGTTTGGTTTTCCCAGAGGATGCTGCACCTTTGCTGTGCTCTGAGGCCACACCTCTTCTGCTGAGGCTCCACCCACATGCCCGCTCTTTTGCCAAGCCCCTGCCAAAGCTCCGCCTCTTCTGCCGAGGCTCCGCCCACATACCTGCTCTTTTGCCAAGCCCCTGCCAAAGCTCCGCCTCTTCTGCCGAGGCTCCGCCCACACACCCACTCTTTTGTCAGGGCCCTTGCTGAAGCCCCGCCTCTTCTGACCAGGCCCCGCCCACATGCCAGCTCTTTTGCCAAGGCCCTGCTGAAGCTCCGCCTCTTCTGCCAAAGCCCTGCCCCCACTCCCTTTCCTCTGCCAGGGCCTGGATCCCACAATGCCTCTTCATCCTCTCATTCTGCCCTCTCCCCTGAATCCTCCCTCCCCCACCCCCTGCCCCTTCCTCTCCACTGTTCCCTGCCCCATCCCCTTTTCTTTCATGCCCCACCCACTGCCCTCCAAGCAGCTGATTGGCCACCAGCCCTGGGGCCCGGTGAACCCCCACTCCCTTTCCTCTGCCAGGGCCTGGATCCCACAATGCCTCTTCATCCTCTCATTCTGCCCTCTCCCCTGAATCCTCCCTCCCCCACCCCCTGCCCCTTCCTCTCCACTGTTCCCTGCCCCATCCCCTTTTCTTTCATGCCCCACCCACTGCCCTCCAAGCAGCTGATTGGCCACCAGCCCTGGGGCCCGGTGAACCAGTGTGGCTGGCGGATGCTAAGCTCCCCCTTTATATTTTTCTCTCTGGGGGTGTGAGCTCCGGAGCCCCCCCTGCGGCTCCATTGGAACCCAGACGCCAGCTGGTGCCAACCCACCCTCCCCCAGTGGCGTCAACGCAGCCAGATCCCAGGGGGAGCCCGGCCGGGGCTGCCGCCGCACTCACCCAGGACAACCAGCATGGCCACAGCTCCCAGCAGGGCGAGGTTCCCGGCCCAGCCGACCCCCAGCGCGGTCCGATGCCACCGTGGGCACGGCGGACAAGCTGCAAGATTGAACACAGAGGGGGGCATGCTGAGCGGGTTTGCAAGCAGGACAGAGAAACACCCACCCCCGTTTGACACTAGCCAGGGACGGCTCTGCCCGGAACCGCTCCAGCCCGGCCTGCCTGTAGCTCTCCCCTCTCTGCGAAAACAAGCCCCCTTGGTTTACTGTGCTGAGCTGAGCCCGGTGCACGTACCCGCCTCTGAGAAGGCGGTAGGGAAGACCCAACTCCTCTCTGCTCAGCAGATCAGGAAACCCACAGCCGGAAGCCTGGCGGGGGGGCGTAGGCGAATAAGTGTGAATGATCATGCTGAGATACCAGAAACCGACGTGAGCCATCCGTGCGAAGCAGATCGCTACTGGGAGGCAGGGCGGGCCGATTCGCCTCCCCTCCTCACAGCCCCTGCGACCGACCGGGCGGAGAACGTCAGCTAAGATTTCCTGCCCCGTCGGTGGCTGGGTGAGAGCGTGCCACAGAAACACCCATCAGTGACATGCCTTGGCAGCAGGCTTGGGGGAGCCGGGTTAGTCTGTCGCTAAGAAAAAAAAAGCTTAAAAGAACAAGGAGCGGCCCTGGAGCACCGTAGAGACAAACCAAAAAAAAAAAAAAAAGCAGCTCTGTAGCACCTTAGAGATGAACAAAAAAATAGAGATGGGATCCTGAGCTTTCGTGGGCACAACCCACTTCTTCAGATGATATGGAGTAAGAGGCACGGAGGGTCAAATACAAAGCAGAAAAAGAGGGGAGAAGGGGAGGAGAAAAAAAGCTTGTCAAAGCGCCTGTGTTAAATGAGCTAATCGGGGGGCTGTAAGTGTCGGATCCTTAGCTTTTGATGTCATTTGGGTGTTTTTTCTCCTCGTTCTTTTTCTCCTTTACCTTTGACCTTTGGAAGAGGTTCAACTTCTTCCCCATGTTTTTCTTTCTGCTGTGATCCCATTTCAGGGGGAGGGAGCTGTCAAACCCAAGGATGAGAGACCCACGCTCTCCTCGGCCGCAGAACCTGCAAAATGCCACCGTCTCCACCAATATTGGCTCCTCGCACGTCCCTAGCGGTCTGCCATCTCTGTCGTCTCTTGCCTGATGTTGAGATTGTAAACACCATAGGCTAGGGCACGGTCTTCCTGTTGGGGGTTTGTACATCTCCCAGCACAGCAGGGCCCTGGCCAAAAACTGGCGTTGCTAGAGGCCATGCTACTGCAAATACCAATTAAGTGACTTGGTCAAGGCCTCACACAGAGTCGGCGGCAGAGCAAAACCTCAGCATTAGGTTTCCTATGTGCTAGTCTTCGCTAGCAGGATACCCAAAACAGACACATGCCCAACCTCATTAGCAGGGCTCGCCAAGCGGCGGCGAGCCGCGCGATTCGGCACGCTGCGCATGCACATACCACGCTGCGCAGCTGTGCCGGCTTGTAATCTGTTGTCCAGCCCTGCTCATTAGAATGGGACTGGATGATGACTCACGACAAGTTCCACGCCTATGGTGGTTCAGAGCCACAGCTGATCAGATCAGGGACTAACCCTTCCTTGCTGTTTTTCACGCCCCTTTTAGCATGTAAGGGGGGGAGGCGCAGCGCAGCGGTTTGTACATTGGTCTGCTAAACCCAAGGTTGTGAGTTCAGCGGTTTGTACATTGGCCTGCTAAACCCAGGGTTGTGAGTTCAATCCTTGACAGGGACGTTTAGGGGTCTAGGGCAAATCTGTCCATAATGGTACTTGGTCCTGACATGAGGGCAGGGGACTGGACTCAGGTCTCTTCCAGTTTTATTTAAAAAAGGGGAAAGGGATCATCCCACATCCAAGAGAAGGAACTGAAATGTGTCCTAGCTCCTGCAGCAGTAGCAGAATTCTGGAAAGTGACTAGGGCCGCCGCAGAGCGAATCTAGAAAGTGACTAGATTCTCTTTGCAGCAGAGACAAAGTCGAGCAGTGGAACTAGGTCACAAAGGTACAAAAGGGGTCACCGTGATTTCCCTCGCCGGGCCTCCCCAGGGCACAGAGCCGCCCCCACATAATTCCTACAGGGGAGAATGTCCCGTCATGGTTTGAAGTGATTGAAAACTCCCCCGTGACCCGGGGTAAATTGTTCCGCTGATTCATTTCCAGACTGAACTCATCTAACGTCAAGGTCCAAGGAGTGGAGCTTGTTAGATGGTAGCAGGGTTGTTCTTCAATGTGTCCTTCCCGGCTGGGGCTGCGTCACATTCACCTTGTCTTTGTGGAGCGAAAGGGAGGCTGGCCGTGGCTCCTTCAGTCATCCTCATGCCTCTGCTCTGACCCCTCTCCACATCTACGAACGACCCGCCTGAACTCCGGGCACCAGGACGGGACACAGGAATCCAACAGCGGTTGGAGCGGTGACAAACAGCCGGGGATAGAAACATGCTCTGCTGACGTGCAGAAGGGAAACTGAGGCACGGCGTGACGGAAGGCCAGCTTTCCGAAGGTGTTTAGGCTCCTGCAAACCAGGTTTTGAAGTCCCCAAGGAAGCCAACCTCTCCAGGCACCGACGGACGTGCCGAGCGCAAGGCGCCATCGGGAGTGTGCGACAGAGAACGGATTTGGAGCCAGTTCTTTCCAATTCTGGGCAGGTGTCCAGCTCCACGGGCCTCCTCGCTCCTGCGTCTTGGTCTTACGAAACCTGGGCCGCACTTCAGTCAGGCAATGTGGAGGCATGCCAGGGCAGAGCTGAGCTGGCGAATACAGGGAGACAAAGCGAGTCGTGTGACAGCTGCACCCGCAGCCTGCGTAAAGGTATTTGGTGTTTACTGGTGTCACGTTTCCCTTGGCGCTCGGGGCTGGCCTTACCATGAGGTAAACTGAGGCAGCCGCCTCAGGTGCCAGACTGTGGAGGGTGCGGGGGGGCCCAGCTAGGACCTGGAGTTTAGAAAATTGTGTCTGCTGTTGGTGCAGATGTATTCTCTCTGCTCTAGATGCACAGAGACGGGGGAGTGCTGTGCTGGAGGAAGGAAGGCATAAGAGACCTTTCAAAGTTTTGGCCCAAGCGAGGGGCCATGGGGGCGTCATTTGAGCTCCCCACTTCAGATGCCAAAATGTTGTGGGCCGGCCCTGTTAGCACTAGGAGCCAGATGTGCAAGGACTCCATACCTGAACCCAGGCCTCGGTTTCTCCAGAGACTGATTCGTAGATGAATAGCAACTCAAGTGCATTTTTCCCCATCCATGTGCAGAATAAATTTTGTTGCACGCACCCAGGCAGGTGCAGAGGTGCACCACCTCTAGACATACATGCCGCCGCTTGTGGCCGCTCTGATAATCAGCCAGGCAGCACTGGAATCCCTCCTGGGGGACCATGCAAGTGTGCAGATTATTGGGATGGCTGTCTGAGCAGAAAGCGGAGGCTCCTCCTGAAATCAAATCACTTCGGTAGGGTGCCTACAGATGTGGCCCCGGTGTGCTGCCGAGCATTTTAAAATCACTCCGTACATCAAAGCACGCAGGCCGGGTTTTCTGCAGCTATGAATCAGCCAAGCCCTGCAGAGGTCGGTGGAGTTCGAGATTTACACCGGGCGCCGATCCGGCACTTAGAGCAGAGTGGGTCTAGTTCACCAGTGGAGCATTACGCTGACCTCCTCCGAGGGGCGAAAGGAACCCGAAGCCAGCTGGCACACGCTGATTTCCTGGGCTTGCAACGTGATTCCCACGTCATAGAATCCCAGGGCTGGCAGAGACCTCAGGAGGCACCACGTCCGGCCCCCTGCCCAGAGCTGGACCAACCTCGACTCAATCATCCCAGCCAGGGCTTGGTCAACACCTCTAGGGATGGAGATTCCAGCCCCTCCCTCGGGAACCCATCCCAGCGCTTCCCCACCCGCCTAGGGAAAACGTTTCTCCTAATATCTAACCTAGACCTCCCCCACTGTAACTTGAGACCATTGCTCCTTGTTCTGTCACCACTGAGAACACTCTCCAGCCTCTTTAGAAACTCCCTTCAGGGAGTTGAAGGCTGCTATCAAATCCCCCCTCACTCTTCTCTTCTGCTACTAAATAAGCCCAAATCCCTCAGCCTCTCCTCGTAGGCCATTCACAGCAGATACTCCACTGGTGCGAAGCTCCACTGAGCAATGCTGATTTCCATCAGCCAAGGATATGGCCTATTCGTCTTCCAGAGGGACTGGAGCTGGGCAGTTAGATGAGTGGGGTTTTTATTTGGAATCAGTCAATTGCTATCTGGGGAGATCCAGCTACTGTGTCCCCAGTGACCCCCAGTTCCCCAGGTACTGTGACCCCCCAGTGAAGCTGACGCACCATGAGGCCTCTGGAACAGCATCCCCCAAACCTGGGGAGCTGCAAAACTGAAGCACTGTAATCAGTGGGTGTCTTTTGTTGATTTCAATGGAAGATGGATCAGGGCCTTACTGCACATCCCAGAACAAAACCAGCCGCAGGACCGATCCGTGGGGCACTCCGATGGAGGAGGGTGAAGCTGGGTGACGGTCGAGTGTACCTTTTATCCCTAATTTGATGCTAAAAAGCATCCTAGGGATGTTGTGTTTATCCTACCCCCAAGCACTGCAAACCTTCCTCCCCTCCAAAAATCGAGGGCTAAGGTTACTCTGAAAAGGACTCCAATCATGACACTCAGGTGATATGCATCTGCTCTGTGGTGATGCCGTGAAATAAATCTGCAATTAGGCTCAACGCCTTTTAGAGGTTTGGTTGCTGGGTTGGATGCAGCTGATTAAGAGACGTTTGATTGTCTTCCTTCATTGAGTCAGGGGCTGGATTCGGATCTCAGTGACCTGGCTCCAAATCCGGAGTGACTCCACTGCACTGAAGGAGCTCGGGATTCTGGTCTCAGTGACCTTGTTCTGAATCTGGAGTCACTCCACTTCAGTGAATTGTGTCCAGACTGGATTGGGATCCCAGTTACCTCTTTCCACACCCAGAGTGACCCCACTACAAGGAATTGTCTAGGGGCTGGATTGAGATCTAAGTTACTCCATTCCAAATCCAGAGTGACTTCACTGCAATGAATAGGGTCAGGAGTTTGGTTTCAGTGACCTTCTCCCCAATCCAGAGTGACTCCACTTCAATGAATTGTGTCAGGGCTGGATTGAGATATCAGTTACCCCATTCCAAATCCAGAGTGACTCCACTTCAGTGAATTGTGTCAGGACTGGACTGATCCCAGTTATCCCATTCCAAATCTGGAGTGACCCTAGTGCAAGAAATGGAGTCAGACCTGGATCTTTATCTCAGTGACCAGGAGTAAATCCAAAGCAGGGAAATCAATGGAGTTAGGGCCAAATGCCGATCTCCATGTCCTTAGTGTAAATCCACCGAGACAGCCCCGAAGCCAGCAGATCTCTGCCCCCTGACTCCAGATCGGGATCGGACCCCTGGCGCACTGCTAGACTTGCTATTTATTAAGCGTTACCATAGCAAAAATGAAATGCAGGATCCCAAGATCCACCCCTCACCCCCTCCAAAAAACATAGGCCCTCAAATAAATTGCACTCACAGTCCTGCTGAGCTGGAGTCGAAATGCTGCTGGGCGTAGAGCCGGTGGGGTGACTTAAATAGGTATAGACCACGCCATCAGCCATGACCAGGCAGGGAGCTGTGTGCACAGGCTCCGTCCTCGCTGTGTCTGAGCCGAGCTGACCAACACCCCTTCTGCCAGGAAATTGTGTCTCCGTTGAGCTCTGACACCTGCTTACCACGGCATGGACTGAATAAATGCGTTGTCTTCCCTAGACGCTCCTTTCCAGCTTGCCAAGGGGGTTCGGGCGCCTGTCCTGACTCCGATTCTATTCAATGAGGCCGCACATTCCAATCCGGAGCCGCGCCGCGCCAGTGTGGACGGCCTCGAGTCTCGATCCTGCCCCTCTGCGTTTGTCGGTGCCGGGAGACTGAATGGCCGTTGATGGGGCCTGCCCACAGCAGCCAGCTGCCAAAAATGTTTGTACTGCTCCTCTAGCTCGAGAGGCGGAAATGAGCTCAAAAAGAGGGTGGGTGGACAGCTTTGCCTCCAGAATATTCTCACTGCAATGAATTTCTTTTTTGCAGAAAGCAGCTGCCTGCCTCCAAAAGTTTGGAAAC